GGGCGGGGGTGGTGGGGGGGGTGGGGGGGGGGGGGGGGGGGGGGGTGGGGGGGGGGGGGGGGGTACAGAGGGGTGTGTGGTGTTTTGGAAGGACATGGACAAGTTGGGGTGTGTGTGTGTGTGTGTGTTAGAGACTGAGAATTAGATGGATGCTCTGCGGGGATTAACATGATCAGAGACACAAATGCAGAGTCACATAGGACATATAGGTATGAGACAAACGACACACACACTCCCTCAGACTCACCTCCTTCCTTACCCATAATAACTCCCACAGAAGAGAAGATGAACCATGAGTGAACCTTGGCTTTAGCCACACTTCCCCTCTGCTTCAAACAACTATCGATTCACAGCGACTACAATGACAAACGTTGCACACCGGGAGAACATGCAGCTGCGCGCGGCCTATCCATGTAAGCATGGATGTATGCATACCCGGGCTCCAGGTTTTACCAAGCGGGGCACATGTAGAGGCAGACAGACAGGAAATAAACAAACAAGTGGGGTTTTAATAGAATTGTACCTGCAGCCCCGAGGACACACACACACACGCAAGCAGAGCGTATCAGCCGGCATGCTAATACTGCCGAAGGGAAGCCAAAACTAATAGCACAGACATTAAGAAAATGATCCCCAGGCTGATATGTTTTCTATAGATGGCGACTAAATACAATTGCCATATTTATCATACTCAGGGAAACAGAGAGGGAGAGAGAGAGGGAGAGAGAGAGGGAGGGAGACAGAGATCCTCATCTCCTCCCCTGTCTCTCTGCGTTGTCCCCCAGGAGAGTAATGAGCGTTGCCCCTGGGAAAGGGAGCGAACTAGTCTTCCTATGTATGAGAGTGTTGTGCATGTATTTTTTGTGTATGATGTCGCCCTCTGCTTTATTCCTGCTCAGTTCAGGGTGAGTTAGGGCAATAACATTACAACTGTTGCCCGCAAACAACACATTTGTACTGCAAGTCTGACCATTAATGTAAAGCTTAAAAGGCACTGAAGTAAGAATATGCACAAAGTGTTTAAAAATACACAGGCTGTAGCTCCATCTGGCACCTCCCCTGCAGAGGGTGCTGTTAACATCCATTTAAATGTTCAAACTTTATCAACACATTTTATTTTTATTACGAGTTTCATTTATTTTAGATTTTTGACCAGCTGGCTAAGTACTATATGGCAGCGAGTCAGGTGAAATATGGTGCTGTACACCTCCGGTTTTTATTTTGTCATGTTATTATGTACAATTATGTACTTTATCATCTTAATTAACTGACCCACTCTACCTGACCACAACGAGGACATTGTAGAGTTTAGGACTCTCCATCACTGACCAGTATGTGGTGCTACAGCTGCCTCAACAGCTTTTCCAACTAAAATATTCGAGGCCTCTGTCTTCTCTTTCCCGTTTACGATTCCTTTTTTGTTCTCTTTTCAACAAATACAAATACATTCCTCAAATATTAACTGTATTTTCCTAACGTGATCAACGTTTCTCTCTAGTTCCACAGTGACAACAAATTCACTCGAAGGCAGCCAGAATTATCAGCATCTATTAGCTGTGTAGCAGCTCCTCTTCCTCCACTGCACTCAGCCGCGCAGGAAAGAGGAAATCACTCCAACAATCAGGCCCAGAGCTGATAAAAAATATATTTTAAAACAATCCATCAATGTTTTAATGCATTACTTCAACTCTCTTCTTCTTAACCCCATCTCTCCATCCACGCTTCCCTCCTCACACCCGCCCCTCCCTGCCCTTCTCTGGCTCTCCAATTAGGCTGCAGCGGCAGGTTTCCATCAGCTGTCGGCTCGTCTGACGCAGGACTCCTCGGAGCAGAGGCCTGTCAGGAAATGAACTCATCAGTGGGTGACAGCTGCTAATTTCTCTCCCTTCCATGTCACACAAGTGGCCTGCTGCAGTTAATAATGAGCCATCCAGCCCTGATTAGGGAGATACACGGGGAGGGTGGGAACGCGCACAATATAGTACACAATCACTCAGGCAGACGTGTAGGATAATGTACAAGCTGGGACACACGCAGACATTTCACTGGCTGTATATAAATAAATAAAGGACACAAAGAGAGCTGGGGAACCCGGGTGTTCACTCTGCATTACAGGCTGCATTAAGTGATGTTCTCACACTGAGCACTTTATTAGGGACACTTTTTTTTTAACTGGAGCAGATATTAAATCAGACAATCATGTGGCTGCAGGTGTATTGGATTAAAATGATTTCAGTGAGGACAATGCTCCAGGGGACGTTTGTGTGTAAGTCACATTCACTCAGGTCAAAAAAGTTCAACAATAGTTCACTCAGGAGCATCTAGACACAACGTCAAGTATTGATACTAATAACTAATAATATATTAACTAATAATATTTTCTGTTTCAGGCACTATGTGTTGATTTGATTAGGTTTTAAGCTGCTAATTGCCTTCAAGTTAGTTTATTCTTGAGCATACTTTTTTTTCTTTGGGGGAGGGGGGCTGCATGGTGTCAGAGTGGTTGGTAATCATGCCTTACAGCAGGAAGGTCAATGGTTCAATCCCTTTTGGTTATTGATGGTCTCACTGTATGCAGTTTGTTTTCTCACACATACAGTAGGCATAAATACAGTAGTTTCTTTTACTCTGAGGCTTTTCAACCTTGGGGCCGGAACCCCAATGGGGTCGCCTTAAAACAATTAATCAAAATTAAATTAGAGGTCAAATGAAAATATCTGAGCTGGCACATCTTGATTGACGGCTGCAATCACCTGACAGTTACCAAAATGTCTCTGTGGTCGCCTGAAATGTGCGATGTCAAAATGGGGTCATGAGCCAAAAAAGGCTGCGACCCACTGCTTTAAATGGACAACAGGGCTGAATGTGAGTGTGGATAGTTGTTGTTATGTCTACATGTGGTGCTGTGATGGGCTGTTCAACTGTCCAGTGCTGTACCACGTCCACACATTATGACTACCGGGATTGTCCACGGCTCCCCCATGACCGTGATAAGGACCAAGATGTAAAATATGAGTGAATGAATGAAAATCAACAATGAAGACGAAGAGAATTAAGGTCAGAAACTTGACCTCTACAACAAGCCAATAGATCAAAAAAAGGTGACTTTTGACTTTTGTATATACTGTATGTAAATGATGTCTTACACAAATGACAATTGGGTTATTCTTAAGGATGAGCTGGCCATGGTGCTGATTTTACTTCTGTTGCTTTAGCCTGCTGTTAAAGGTGTTCTGTGAATCCATTAATGGGTTTGTGAGAACTCATTCTAAAGTAAAAAAGACAGAACAGGCAGAGACGAAGGAAGGCAGACAGGCAGGCAGGCAGACAGACAGGCAGACAGACAGACAGACAGGCAGACAGGCAGGCAGGCAGACAGAGACAGGGAGACAGGGAGACAGGGAGACAGACAGGCAGACAGACAGGCAGGCAGACAGGCAGGCAGGCAGACAGACAGGCAGACAGACAGACAGACAGGCAGACAGGCAGGCAGGCAGACAGAGACAGGCAGACAGGCAGACAGGCAGACAGACAGGCAGACAGACAGGCAGGCAGGCAGACAGGCAGACAGACAGACAGGCAGACAGACAGACAGACAGCTTCTTACTGCTTGTTCTATAAAGTATAAGCCACCTTTGGGTATTCTTGCCCTCAGGGTTGTTCAATTGATGTATAGGCCGCAGCATTATTTCTATGCCGTATGGTAATAATGAATAAAGGACTGCTGTTTATAAGTGAGAGAAGAAGACAATTGAAGACTGGTGTTATGTTATGTGAAGGACACAGGCGTCCATTTGTCCACGTGGTTGTAAATTTCACTCCACTCAGGCCTCTGACTATAACCCTCTGATTTTAACTGCCCACTCCTCTATTCCTTTCAGTCTGTGCATATGTGTGTCAGAGTTTGTGTGTGTGTGTGAGTTAAAGGGATGATCTTTTGATGCCCTCAGTGTGTGTGAGTGTCTCCTCTCTCCACTTTCAGCGGTTGGCCATTGTGTGTGCAGCCGTCATACTGCTCTCCCACTCACTCCATCAGAAAGCAGCCCAGTGCTGGGGCCTAAATGAATATTGATTCTCCCTCCAGTGCTGAATACTGCTGGGGAAAAGGATGAGTGTGTTGTACACAATGAACAGAATGGGCCTGATGGAGGGGAGAAGAAAGGATGACGATTAGGAGGATGGCGATCATGACGACGATAATGATAATGGTGATGGTAATGACCGTGTTGCCGATCACAAAGCATGATGGGAGCCATCGCGTGATGCATGTACTGTATGTGCGCGTCGCTTGTGTGTCCAAGGGGTTTTAACGCCACGGTTAATCAAACGCTGTTGATAAAAGTTAACGGCAATCTTTATTGTGGATTAACAAAAATATAACAGAAAAATACGTTTGATTTTATCACACACACATTTTAACATCGGATCAGCCGGAAGGAAGGCTTCAAAATGAAGGCAAATGGTCGGTTTTGTAACTGATGATAAAACTAATACAATAAGAGCAAAACTCCACTACAACCAAAAAGGAAGAAAAAAAAAGTTTTTAGAGAACAAAAGAACTACTCCCCTCGTCTACATCTCTGGTTATCAAACATTTTCTGAAAACAATACTGGAGGAGGAACTTTATCCAACATCTTTAACACATCTTTAACATTATTAATGTGAAGAGACCAGAGCTGCTGGTTTCAGACCTAACTCTCCATGTGAACACAGCAGCTCCATGTCCTTTAAATCAGTTTAAATTATGATTTAGCAATTAAAATGAAATAGAATAAAAAAACCATGAAAATAAAATGAAAGGAGAATTATAGACCTGGAGACTGTCCAGTAGAACGCCTGCTCCATTCACAGACTACGTCAGCTCTTGTTGTTCTTGTCGTCATAGATACTTGCCTCAACCTGCAACGGTGGCCTGTAACAGAGACAGCTCAGACCATAATGAAAACTGTCTTTATGACAGTGTTGGTGGTGAAGATTTAAATCAGTGATTCTCACACAGCACCAAAATAATAAAAAAACATAAAAACACCAGAAACAGTTTCTCCAAAGAAATGGTGTTCAACCTGAGTTTAGTATAACAGAAAACAAGCTGAGAGAGGTGAAAATAAAGGGACAGGATGTCCTGGACAGGACTTAGCCTTTAAAACTCATCTTGTCTGTTATTATATATCTATTTTCAGGTCTGGACCATGAATACCTCACTCCAAATACACCACCATTTCTGACCCATCGTCCTGCTCCACCTGCTGCACCTCCATATCTTCTGCTTCAGCCTCCCTGAACACACCTCCCTCCACCTGTAAGTTACCGTTCTCCAGCTCAGTGACGATGTAGTGGGTTCCTTGGTCGTTGATGATGACCTGGGTCAGACCTTCCTTCATCATCTGCGAAGCCGCGAGCTTCAGCACCTCTCGCATCTCCTCCTGATTGGTCTCAACCTGCACCTCCCCCTCCCCCTGCAGGGGCTCCTCTTTCAATTGCACTTCGCTCTGCACCTCCGATACCTCTGGGGCCAGGACCTCATGAATGATGGTAGCCTCTCCTTGCGTTTCCTTGTGGTGACCCATCTCGCTCACAGCACTGAGCAGAGCGTCCAGGGCTGTGGACGACTCGGTGACGATGTGGGTTTTCCCTGCTGCTGATAACCTGCCTCTGGTGACGGCCTGCAGCTGACTGTGGGCCTCCTCCGACTCCAGCACGACAAACTGGGTGCTGTCTCCGGCCAGGTGTGCGCCCCCGCCTGCCACCTCCCTTCTGGAGGTGATGACCTGTCCGTCGTCTGTGATGTGCAGCACCTCGGCCACCTGTCCAGCCATGGCCAGCGTCTGAAGGGTGGCAGCCGCCGACTCCTCCAAAGTCTGATCGATGGCTACCTCCTCGCCACTGTAGCCTTGGATGATGATGACCTGCTGGATTTCATCTTCATGTGACGAGACCTCCTTCCCGTGCACAGGAGAACCGACGGGCTCAGTCTGCACAAATGTAGCACCCTGTCCCTTTAGACGGCACTCAAATGACTTGGACACGATTCCTAGAGGAACAAGGAAACATTCTCGTTAGGGTCTGCGCCTTCGACTGTAGTCAAAACTGAATACCGTCCTCTATCAGTGTGTATTTAAAAAGTGTTAATCAACAGAATTAACACTTTTTTACTTCTGACAATGAATCATATATCTTCTTACAGGAAAATTAACAGAGTTTAGATGGAATTAAATATTTTTTGGCTTTTTAGATGAGATCTAATCTAAAAAATGTAATAAAACTTTTTAGTTAACTTTTTTGTAGATTTCCTGACTTGTTCATAGAGGTGTAAGTTCATGTATCCTTTCTGTTGTCGCTTAAAGTGTTTTTTTTTTTTTTTTAAGCAAAGCAGCATCTGAATTATTTTAAATTTTTATAGAAAATCCTTTTTAAGCAAAGCAGCATCTGAATTATATAAGACTTTTTTACACTTTAAGATCGAACACTTTCAGGATTTCAAGCGCCTGTATTAAAACATGAACTATAACACTTGGTAAACCTGCAACGATAAAAAGAGGGAAAAAAAGTGAAAAAGAAAACCTGGTTGTTTTAACGCCACACATATCTTTGTCACTAATACATGGAGGGAGACAGAATATGGAGAGGTTGAATGTGACGAGATACAGCGGGTGCTAATTGAGCCACACTGTGCCCTCTCAGATCACAGGTTGCCATGGCGTTGCCAGGGTGATAGGAACAGTGTTAGAAATGCCATTGTTTAAACAGCGGCTGGCTCAGACAATTGTCGGCTAATCTGTGCAGAAAAACAGGAATTTGAGACAGTGAAGAGGAGACTCTGTTCACGCCTGTGCCCAGAGGAACTTTGTGCACAAAAAGCTGAGAGCTCATGTATTGTTGTCACACAGAGAATTCTGACTTCAATTTGCAGCGTTTGTTTCACCTGCAGGTTTGCACCTGTACTAGCTTTTTTTCATTTAAAACTCTTTTGGTCCGCAAAAGTCTTTAAGATTCCTTCGGTTATCTTCAGAGGCGGAGCAGGAAATAAAACAACTTTTTTTTTTTGGGGGGGGGGGGGGGGGGTTATTTTTGCAGTCACTTCCCGAAAAGTTGACATTTGAGAAAAGCAAAGTTTACCTACGAGTGTGGCAACAAGATCACGCAGATCTCACAGCACATAGAGGAACAAACTCATCAATCATTGATATTCCTATCTCCCGCTGACATTTAATGTCCTGCATTCACAGGGTTGACAGTGTGATCAGAAAATCAGAGTTGCAGCAAACAGTGGCTGACCCAACTGTGCCCCTCCCTCAGACCAGTCCGGTGATGTGTTTGCTTTCATTTTCCCTCCCACTACTGAGCTCTGAGTCCAACAGTTCACTCTCAGACACTAAAAACTGCTGTTGGGAGGTGTCTCTTCATGAAGGACACAGTGGACGATTCTTCTGATGTCCAGTTTCACTCTGCATCCAAACAACAGGCAATCACATGATATCTTCAGAAGTTTCTGTCAGTAGTTTTTCTACAGGACCATGAAAATGACTTAAGGTTTTTTGACCAAGGACACATTGGCAAGTAGACCGATGGAGTCTGCGATTGAACAAAACCTTTCAGTTTTAGTTGAACCACAGGCCTGTGTTGATCACATATAGAAGTGACATGAGCATACAAGTTACTTTAATTACACTGTAGTACTCTTGTGTACTTTAACAGTACATTACCTGTCTTTCCCCATCAGTTTGATACTGTTTCTCTGCTGCATGTCATTAGTCTGGCGAGTGGACACTGTGATTGGCTGTTCCAAGGATTACAACTGGGAAGAAAGTTTTCCAGGTTACTGATGCCTGGAACAAACTTTAGCTTAAAGTCACTGATTCCAAATCATATCTCAATGGGACAAACATGGCTCAATATAAGTTAATTAAAAACTATTTATATTAAAAAAGACAAAAAAGTTCAAAAACAGATTTTAAAAGAGGCACATGTCCCTCAGGTGTTTCAGGCCTCGAGCTCTGTAACAATTTTACAGCCTCATAAACCTCACTGTTCAAAAAAAAAAAAATTGAAATCAGAGCAAACATCCCATTTTTAATCAAACTTAAATGGAAACCTGTTAAAAATATTAAAGCTTTGTAACAGGTTTTTGATCCAAATCCATCTGTTTGTTTTCCCAGAACAGAAAGAACATTTGAAAATGAACTCCATTTAAGCTCAGACAGCGCCACAGGAGCAGGTTGTGACCTGAACACTCTACAGAGGAGGAACTCTCTGATGACCAGCTGGTCGTGTAGAGAAACAGCTTTGTCATTTTCATAGAGAAAGATTGTTTCAATGACTACATGATGACAGAGTGTTGGAGCAGCTAACAGACTCATGCTAACTGTAGAAACACACAAACTGAAGGAACAAAGATCTGTTGAACAGCACACGCTCTGCTGCAGCACCAGTAATAAAACTGCTGCACAAACTCAACCCAAAGACAGTTTATTGCCTTTTGCTGCACACAACAATAACATCAATCAAAACGTGGTGACTCTCTGTGAAGTCCACTCACCGACTGCCTTTAAACTGTGATTAGAAACGAGCAGCAACATCTGTGTGGATCAGCCTTCTGTGATCAACCATCACCACCACAGCTGCACGTCCTCCTGCAGCTGACTGCGCGCGTGCGCACACACACACACACACACCTTTAAAATAAGGGGAAAGGAAGTTCCTGCTATTACGATCCAGTTCTGGGGAAGTTTGCTGTTTCGAGTGAATCAGTGAACGGTTAAGATTTATTGATGTACTGCAAACAAAGGCAGGAGGGAAACTGAAAGCCACGCCCTCTGTCCAGTCAAGTCGATTTTACAGTGTAGTCAAAATAAAATAAAGACAAAGAAAAACTAAATTAAACTGAATTAGATCCAAAAACATTTCTATGTACATTTTCTCAGGGAAAGTACAACATGTTGTACAATCTGTTCATACGTTTCCCACGTCCCCCTGCGTCTATATGTGACCAGTTCATTCTTTCTAGCTGTCTGTCTGAGAATATACAGAGCTATTTGTATGTATACAGTTCGCCTGTTTGACTGTGTGTGTGTGTGTGTGTGTGTGTATGGTGGGGGTGATACTAAGGGTATGCGTGTCACATTAGCCGTGGGGTGCTGTCGGCGGGGGGCCGCCGGGGGGGCGCCGCGGGGTTGGGG